AAAATGCAATACTGTTTTATTTATATAAACTATAAAGTTAAACTATAAATAAGATTATAACATCTTAACATGTGAGAGAGTTTTCTTGATAACCGGTACACCACTTGAGCTTTCAGGGATGCACATAATATTCCATTAACATGTGCTTAATTAATCTATTTTTTATACTAGTGTGAAAAAAGCATGTTGATGCTTCCTGGTTTTTTCACAAGTATTCTTCTGTTCTCTTCAATATACCGCGTTTTAATAAAAAGCTAACGCGTGCGGAAAATGTAATTATAAATGCAAGATATGCATGCAATATAATCTTTTTATAATCTTTTTTCTACTATACATTTGACATAGATGATTTTACAAGTATACATATACATATGTATATTCTAATCAATACGCGTGTCTTTTAATAAAAATTTTTAATTAATTTTATTTAAAATTAATACATATCATAATGTAGCAGTAAATATTTGCGAAATAACTTCAATATTTTAGTTTATGAGATTATTATAAAAAACTTATATATGAAATATTCACAAACAATTCAATGGTCATCGGTGACGAGAATCAAAAATTCGATTTTATTTCTGTGTGACTTTGTGTCTATATGTGTTGGTATGATGCTTTCATTAAAGACTAATTAAATTGGCTTTTTTATTTCTTTTTACGGATTAACCAGTTTTGACCAATTTAAAAATCTCAAAAGAAAAATTTTATTTTATCATTCGAAAGCTACAAAATTAATATTTACGATAACAAATATTTGTGAAAATATAAATCAAAATAATATTATAAATAAATAATGATATTAAAAATATATTTGAGAACAAAAATATACACGATCTACTTATATACACTCTTTACGCCGCATAATTGCATACATATGTATACACAATTAATCTCAAATTAAAAAATATATCTAAAAAATATATATATGTGAAGCACATATAAAACTAAATTTACAAACTAAATTATAAATCGCAAATTGTAAATTGGATAAATTTTTGCTGAAATAAAATATATTTTTGTATTAAATTTGTAAAGGAAAAATTAGATTAAAAGAATTATGAATATTATTCCTCGTCTCAATTTGTACAATCTCCGCAAAAAATCTGATTTCACGATTGCAAAACTTATCTTAAATTACTAAGCGCTAGCAAGACGTAATCGGGGTGGTCGATCTCATACGAAGAGATGAAAGTCGTATTCGGCTCTTCCGCGGATCTAGTTTAATATCTGGAAGGGTTGGTTACCGGAGGGCAAAGACCGGGAATCATAAAGAAAAAGCATCATAAAACAGAAAATATGCGGATGATAATTAAGAAAGAAGAGGATAGAAAGTGTAGTGTAAAATAAAAGAGAAAGAGAGAGAAAATAAAACGTGACGCACGGCATGCGCAAAGGACGTGATGCAAGAGATAGAGTTGAACACATCGGGAATAATGTAATATCGATTTTCCGAGCCTTTTTTTCCTTGTCTGTAGCATTGATGTACCGAAGGGCGATCGCCTGTGAACTCGAGAAGGTTAAAATTTTTCACAAAAATTATGTTTCATTCTTAATTTCCATACATTACGCGTATACACATTTATCGGAATTAATATTTAATCCACTCGATTCATTAGCGAAAAATTTGCAGTGAAGATGGAAAATTTATATACTCATAAATGTTCACATAAATCAGAAAATTTCATTAAAACCAGTAGAATGCAGTAATTCTGATAGTATCTTGTTTAAATTCATTGGCTCTTCATATATACATATATATATATCTAACTGCTGCTGTTTAAATCTCGTCTCATATTATATATCATCTGTGACTAAAATAGCGCTTGAGCACTAAATTTGCGGTGAGAGTACTGAGATCACTGCGCTTTCAAGTTTAATTTATACTGTCTGAATAAACAGCTCATGAAGGCGTTACATTATTTTATGACGGATATAATTCTTTCTGTAAAACAGCCGGCAACGATCGTGATCCTGAAATAGAAGTTGCTGCAGCGATTCATTCGGCCAATTAATTTTCGCTGGTGGATTGGAACGTGCGGAAACCTCGATGAGAAGCGCGCCTTTTGTTTCGCGATCTATCGAATTCGCCGGATTTTTTCACAATACCGAATGAAATTATCGAGTTCCGTTATGGTGGCTCCATTTCAACAATCTATCTTTCTCAATCACGCTCCACCTTTTCGATTCACCAATATCACCATGCAATCGCTTTTACGCTCGTTTAACTTCACCTCATTCACTCGAGTTGCATTCACGGTTGATGCGCATTGCATTTGCACCAGCCTTATATTTTGTGTCTCAAATGCAATTCCACTATCATGTATATTCCAGATAATTAACTTGCGATGTTCTATTAATGGGAAGATGTATACATATCCTTCTAAGGAGGATCTATTAGGATTAGAAGCATTTGTGAAACTATTATTAGTGCAAACGCCATCTCGCGCAAAATTTAAATCAAATTTAAATCATGAAAATATATATTTCTTGACAGAATCAATCAATTGTAATGAAAATTTGATAACAAGTTATAAAATAACGTAAAACTTGATTGTATTTATAATAAAACAAATAACTTATACATGCATATGTGTATATTGAATTTCATACGCGTTGGAATTCCATGAAAACTCTACCTCTTGGTTTTATATATTCCTATTTTCTTATAACTATTTAAACAATGTATATATGTAAAAATATATATATATATATATTATTTGAAAAAATATATACGTATATATTTGCAAGTTGCATTATGTTCAATAGAATCTTGAATAAAAAACAGCAAAAACGTTGCATAACTAACGCAATTCCTTCGACCTTTTGCATGAATTACGACTGCACGTTTCATAAAATCTGAATGATCTGTCTCTGTCGCAATATGGGTTTCATGTAATTTAGTTTCGTGTTACGATGTTATATATGTAATGTAGAATCCGATGTAGATAGTAGACATCGATAGTAGATCTCTCAAGATACTAAATGCGCGAGTGCGCGTATTTTTCTATCTCCTCCGTATTTCCTTCTACACCTTATATTATTTCGCGAGTACACAAATGCCATAATTTCCAGCATATTATTAAATTAAATTTTTTCATGATTCTGTTGTTTGAATATTGCATAATTGCGAACAAAATTTGAAAAAATGCGTACAACATCTACTATCAACAATTTCTATAAAAACAGAGAAGACAATATAAATATTTTTTGTTATGATTTTTCTGAATATTTTTGTTTTATTTATGTGTGTATATGTATATTAATATGTATATTTTTTGCGTATTACTAAATAAAAATCTAATTTGTGCAAATTAGGGTCCTGTTGTAATTCAGCTCATTTTATTATTATTATTATTATTAAGTAAAAAAGTTTTATCATAGTTTGACAAACTAATAAGCACTGCTTTTAAAAAATAAATTTTCTTCTGTCGTAAATTATTCTTTTCTACATACATATACATATATGTACATATGGTTTCTTTACCGCAGGAATTTTTTATATAATTTATAAAATCATATTTATTGATGGCATGTCAATAGTTATAACAATATCTACACGTAATTGTGCTTCTTGCTTTATAGTATATACTAATCAATTGAATTTCTGAAAGCCTTCAAAGGACTTTCTTTATCTTTTTCATCAACCTTTTTTATTGCTTTTTTAAAATACATACATATAATATTTTTGCTTCTATTTTTATAATAATAAATTATAAGAAATAATATGTTATTAAATCTTACATTACATATAAGATGAGTATAATAGAACATTTATAATCAATTTAGCAACTTTACATTGACATTGTTAACGTAAAAAGAAAACTATATGGGCGAATTTTTAATCATCGATTGATCAATTACTTTGCTATATTTGCGCATTATGCGGTTGATCAATTGATAAATTTAAAAAATTGGCCTATATATTTTTATTATAATTATTTTATTTTTATAGAATAAAAATATAAAATATTTTTTGAACAAATATATTTTCTTGTAAGCAACAATTAATATAAATGTTAATAACAGTATTATAATTTTATATAATTACGTAAAAAAATATTCCGAGTATTACTGCAAATCTAAAAAGTAAGCTGAGCACAAAAGCTATGTACTAAAGATTTTGTCAGGCAGCAATGTCACAATTTTGAAAAATCATCAGAAATATCTATTCTTTTGTTGCTAATCTCTTCGATTATTTTCATGATAATCGCCATCAGATTTCCTCAGACGTACGATAGCATGAAGAGTTATGCGACTTCCGTGAAACTTTATTGAGCTACCATGACGGTGACAAATTGCTCGATTTCAACAGCTACCGCGATTCTCATCCTTTAACTTTCCGTTTCTATCTGCTTCGACCGTTTATCAGGAAACTTCAGATTTCACTCTATAATGCATTATGCATTTTGAATACGCCCTAATGCATTTATTGCGTAATTTAGAAGTTATGCATAGACTTTTAATATTGATGTCAATTTATTCATTGCTTATCTGTTCACCTATATTTATTTTATAATATTTATTTTTATAATATTTATTTTATAATTTTTATAATATTTATTTTCGGAAATGTTTTGATTAAATTTACAAAATGCTACAGAAAAATGCTGAAAAATTAAATTTCATACTTATTTATCATAGTAACAAACTTTATTTAAAAATATAGAATTTACAAAGATAAAAGTTATGTTACTTAATTATAATGATTCTATGCGTGAAAAGAGAGACAGAGAGAGAGAGAGAGAGAGAAAGAGACAGTGAGGAAGAGATAGAAAGAAGAGAGAGTTCCCTCAGAAGCACATACGCGCACACATTTGTTCCAATTTTTATTTTAATATAAAAATATTAATATGCAATGAGTAATGTAAAACGAGAATTAAATTTGATATAATCAGTATTTTTGTCCAAAGATAATTCTAAAAAGGTTCTATTCATAACGCATTATAATATTTTAAATGTCTCGAATGACTGCAATGTGTGTGTGTGTAAACATTCAGATTGCAAGGAGAGGATGGCTGGAAGAGGGGTTTTCTATCTTGGGACAGATGATTGGAGTCCGCTTTTGCCACTTCTACGATCGCAATATCCAAGAAATTGTAGAGGATGGCACGGATCGCCTCAGAAATGAAAACAGTCGGGGTCCTGTCGCGTCCTGACGAAGCAGAGCCAGGACGGAGTAGAATCAAGTATATCGAAGGATTACACGCACGGGTAGATATCTCAATTTCGGTCCCGATCATACGAACGTCTCCAAGATGGTGACGAAGTTCTTTTTTTATCGTTTCTGTTCTCTTTGAGTCTGGAGCGAATCCGAACAGCGTGTCATTGATCGAGTTTAAACCGGTACGAGATTCGAAGATCAAACTAACCAGAAGTATTTTCGGAGAAAGTTTTGTCCATTGCTATACAAATCTGACCGATCATGCTTTTATCGATTGAAACTCAAAGCTGTGAACCATAATACTGAAAAAAATGCATACGTAAAACAAAATTATTATCAGTGCAAAAAGCGAGTTTTAATATATTGAAACATTACACTTGTCCATTATTCGAAGAAATGTCACACTTGTCATATTATACACTGAAACATTATATTATAATGTATTATAATTTTATTGTATATATATAATATTATATAATTACTTAATAATTTAATATATGTAATATATACATATACACACATATATTTATTATTTTATTATAAGAATTTTATTCTTTAATAATTTGCTCTTTAAAAACATTTCGTTAAAATTTCAGTATCAACGAAACAATAAGAAGATAAATCCGACTAGCATATATATATATATATATATATATATATATATATATATATAGTATATAAATATAAACAGACGATTTCTCTTCTATTTAGTATAAGTTTTATTCCTTCGGACATGATTAAATAGTCAAGCTGAATCAATATTTGAATTGAATGAATTACAAAGGTCGCTTTCCTTTTTCTTTGACGATCTCTACACATTGGATAAAATGGGTACCGATCATTCTTTTAAAGCGATATGTCAAAAGAAGTTTCTTAACAGATATTAAATCTCGTATTTCATAAAACTTCTTTGCAAGTTAAACGTACACATATTTCTTTATTCTCTTTTCGAAAGCTTGATTACGGATTTGATACATTTCCTATAATTTTGAATTAACGATGATCTACTGATTCATTTATTAATCGGATATTTTTTAAAGCTGGTATTTTTTTTATATCTGACATTTTTTTTCGATAATAGGCATGGTATATTATAATCAGTTATCACTTTTATTATATTGATTGCAAAAACAACGTTTGTAATAAATATACTGATTAAATTGATCTACTTATTAAATTGATTTTTAGAATGACTGAATTTTGCGACTATAATTGCAAAAAAATGTAATTTTTAGAGCTTTGAAGTTTTGCAAAATAATGCTGATTTAATATAGTATTTTTTAAATACTTTACAAAGTTTTCTGTGTGATCAAGATTTTTTCTTATAATTTTTAAAATCCTTATTTTACTAAAAATACAACGTAATTCTTTTATATTTTAATAATGCAAGTAAATAAAGTAATTAATAACAATAATAATATTAGTATTTAAACTTATTAGTGCACAGTTATTTAATCGTAACATTTAAAGCTTGCAAGTTTAATGGATGTTCAAATCTAGACTTTAATTTATTGTCTCTGTATTGTGTATCAGTGCATTTAAAGAGGTATTAAGAAAGGTCTAAATTGTATCTCGTTTTCCTGAAAAATTTGCCGTTCCGTATATAATCAACTTGCACAATGTATAAGCGTGGTATGCAATCAATCATTTTTTATTCGTAGTTCAAAGTCGTTTGTATTCCTTTGCGTTATGCTCCTTTATCCAATGGTGTGCGAATTCTCTTTCTCGCGTCTATCTTCTAAATATAGCCGACACATTATTCCGAGCCAGCTTGTCTGTTCGAGTAAAACGATATCTTTGCTTGAGAGAGGCCTTTCGTAACACTTTCGGAAAGTACCCGCGGATCAAATCAGAGATGCGAAAAACATTTTCTAAAACACTGTTGACGAAAAGCTTTATTTTTCATCAATTACATTGCAACAAGGTGCATTACTGAGAAAGCAGGGAAATAATGGAGTATTTTTCAGATAAAATTGATTTCATATTTTAAACAGATCCTAAAATTAAATAACATTGAATAACCAGTGATGTATACTTATAAAAAAATTTTAATTAGAATTTTTTTATTTTTTTTACATTACGTTTATCTGGTAAAGAATAAAATTACAGAAATCAACTTTTTTATATGAATTTATGAAATAAAAGAGGAAGAAATATAAATTTGAATTAATTTATCTACATTTTATTCTTTTTCTTTCAATTTGCAAGTTAAAGAGAAAATCGGGTGAATTACTTTTAAAGTTATTATTTTTTTCTTTTTTCTTTGAGGTATAATACAATGTTGGTCTTTATTAAAATAAAAAGCATTTTTTGTAACCCTTTTTCAAGCTAAGATAACAATGGGAGAAAAAGAACTACTTTATTTCTTGCAACGTATTCCTGACAATAAAAAAAGAGCTCGAAATACAGATAAAACATTGCGTTTCAATGATTCCTCGAAATTACGCGAAATTCTTCGCATGACGATCACTGTCATAGGTTGCGCTAATGCTTTACATTCTTTCTCGAAGCAGTGGCACGTCTGAATTCTGGCATGTTCAATAAAATGCCATTCAATCTCAGTTGAGGCGTTGAATGTTTAGCGTACTACATGTGTTCTTGAATGTGATGCGGCAAGATGAAATTGCATATAAAGAAATATATGTATGTATTATATATATATATATATATATATATATGTTCACGTTTTTCTTAAAATTAGTGATAGGTTCAATTAATTGCGTTTGCTTTTAATTGAAATCCATACGGAAAAAATTTCATATAAAAAATCTTGCTAATATTAAAAATTATATTTCACCATATATCATCATTTAAATTTTTTTATAAATTAGTATAGATTAAATAAAATTATCGATTCTTGTATGGCTCATAACTAATTTAAAATTTAACTGAATTTTAAATAACATTTTTGATAATTATTCGTGCGTGCGTTTGTTGTACACGAGATAAAAAATTTCACAGTACGGCGAATCTAATTGTAAGATAAAATGTTGTAAAATGGGGTCATTATTGGAGTTATATTATAAAAATTTTACAATATAGATATATTTTTACTCTAGAATATCCTTCAATCATTGTAATTTAAGCATTAAACATAAAAAACCTACGATAAATATATTTTCAACGAAGGTTTTAAGTTAATTGAAAGACTCGAATTAAATTGCAAAATTACGATCTCGAATGGCTTTTGGGGGAGGCAAAGGAGAGACATTAGAAAATCGAAACACGCCGTGAGCAAAAGTGAAATTTGTTTAACAAAGTAATTTTATCGCCAGTGTTTTCCTGCCTTCTCATCTGCATCGTCGAATTAAATTACAGGCGCACAAGCAGGCAAGCAATCAACAACTTTTCTTAGAAAGAAAAAGCCTAGAATATGTAAAAGTGACCTGTCTCAAAGTGAGCAAGTGAAATTAAAAAGGGCTATATTAATAATCGATATTTTTCTTGGTGATAATACAATGTGGATTATATAATAAAAATACTTAAAATTAAGACACTTCCTTGAAAAATTCAACGGAAATAAGCAAGCTTCTGCGATAACTAGAAAGAAAATTGAACAATAAAGATCAATATAAGACCATATGACGTCGACAGACAACCAAGTAATTAAGGAGAGATGAAGAATGTGAGTTTGACGTTGATTCTTGTACGATAGTAATACTTTAAACCGAATTAGGTCGGATCATGGAGAAAGAAAGATTGCGTCTGGTTTAAATACTCGAAATAAATGATGCCGTAAAATAATATATATTTATTTTTGTCTATTCTTTAATATTATTTCCTCACGCAATAGCATATGTTTCGAACACTTTTCAAGAAGAAAATTTAACAGCGATGAATTGAGAGATTCGATCTTTGAACGTGAAAATTTAAACATGAAACGGACAGAGATTTATCGTCGAGAAGAAGCTATTTCATAAATTCAGAAAAATCGTGACTCGAATAAAAAGAATTTAAAATAGACAGGAATGAGAGAAGGGGAGATATATAACATATAATATATATATACGTTTCTGTAAACACATTCTGTAAAACGTTTTTGCGCACGTACGATTTATCTGTTTTTGTCATAAATTCATATTTTCAGCGCACGAGCAGGGAATTATATATGACACTGCTTATCAGTTATTGAAAGTTTCGATCTAAAGCATCCATGCGTTTATAAGTCGTTTGAAACAGCTTTTTAAAAAATATTATAACTGCAACGCTAATAAATCATGTCTAAAAGAAATAAAGAGAACTCACAATGATATGTATATACATCAATTTATTCTAATGAACTCGAATGAAATATTAAAATAAAATATTAAATATTTATACATCAATATTATTTTTCCTTCGGAAAAATGGAACATAGTTTTCAAAATATTTATTTATATTTAATATCTCTTCGATCATTAAATATGTTCCTATTATTTTAATTATACCAAGATATATATTATACATATATATAATATTTATAATTTCATTATATTTATTATATGTATATTATATTATTATATATAATGTCAAAAAGATCAAACATATATATATATACAGGGTGTCCGGTAACTAATGGACCAACGATTACAAGTAAATTCTTTGGTCAATTTGGGAACGATTTTTCCTCAGCAAAAATGTCAAAAAAGATCATCATTTTTTACAACTTTCCAATATTTGTCATTATGTATCTTTATAACTAAGCCTCAAATTAAAATTTTATTATAGTAAACTCTACCTAAAATTAACTGAAGAATGTAATTATGTTAGACTTTTAACTCCAAAACGTTTAGTTTCCAAAAAACCCATTTTTGTCAATCGCTTATAACTCGAAAATTATTGACTTCTCAACATTTTTGCTAAGGAAAAATCGTCTCCAAATTGACCAGAGAATCCGCCTTTAATCATTGGTCCGTTAGTTACCAGACACCCTGTATATATGTACAATATATATATATCTAGTTTGAAATTCGCAAAATAACTTACAAATATTATTGCACGTTTCAGTGAGGTATCAATCACGAGAGCCGTTCGAATAGTTCAATTTCATCCAAGATGAGCTTGCGCCAAATCTTACCGTGGATGTGGTGTTTCTTGATTACGAGCGAGTGTTACAACGTAAAGAATAGAGGTGAAGACGGTTCGAAGTTGATACGCATCGGTGGTGATATCATCTTTGGCGGTATCTTTCCAATGCATGAGCAAGTAAGTCTTATTTATGTAAAATACGTATATCAATGCTTCCATACTTCTTTTTAGCGATATACAGGTTTCTCGTTAACTTTCAAATTGAAAAGGAAGATTCCTTAGCAAGAGCTTAAATTTGCAATACCCTCCTGTCTTCGAAATTTTCAAAATTAAATATTTTAGTAATTGGTTTAGTAACGGAAATCTAATTAAATAAAAAATTAAATAAAAGATAAGCTTCTTTAACCATGTACATATGTAATTTGCTAATAGCCTTTTCTCTCCGAATTAATATCTTTTAGACTTTTGAGCAACTTTGATCAAGATACCTTGTATATTATAATAAAAGTATGGATGTATGTAATTATATTGAACAATAAAATTACACGATAAATAATAAAAACGTTATTCATTACGAGTAGATAAAAGAAATGTAGAATTTCTAATTAAGGATAACAATTACTTTTTCTGATTCTTTTCATGGACCAAGTTTATTCAACGATATTGTTATATCTCTTCTAAGTGTTAATGTTAAATCAATATGAAATCTTATGTGTCGGAACTTGTTCGGAGCGGATTAATATGCATATATCATTACTTTGCTACACGCGTTGTAATTGTATTCACAAGATTGTACTTTTTTCGTTATTCTGTACTCTTTCGTCTTAAATTACTTTGCAGAAATCGTGCTCTTGCCTTATTTTTACTTAAAAATAACGAATATTCCGAATAAAAATACAGCGTTTGTCGTCGACGGCGGCGATGAAATAAATGCATTTCCGCATTCATTACCATTGCCATTACAATCAAAATTAACTGACGCAACAAATGCCTCGTTTGATATAATTAAAAAAAATGGAAGCGGAAAGGTTTCAATTTATACACGTAAAGAAATGCAAACACCCGCGTCTTTCCTGATTAAAAGTAACTTTATTTTCCATATTCGCTAAAACAAATCATGTAAATATTCATAAACGTGATTTAATTACAATTAATGCAGGTTATATATTGAAATTAATTCTCGCATTTTTTCCTTACTTCATAATTGGTAGAAACAGATGAGATATCAAATTCGTGGTTTTAATTACAATCGTTTTTTCGTTTCTCGAAATTTCATTATGTATACATGTATTATGTACGTAACAAAATGCATATGCTTTCCAAAAAAAACATATTTTTTAAAAATGAAAAAATAAATAGAGAGATTAATAATTATTTATTATTAAGTCACATATGTATATGTGGCCTCGTTTTAGCTCGAGTTTTATTTATTCAGAAAGCATAAACGCGAACTCGATGACATATTTAATATTCACGTTTTGCTGCTTTGCGAGAATTATTTCATTATGTTTACGCGCGGAAATTAAGCCAACTCTCGAAATTATCTAATATGTGTTACGCAAAAGATTGACGTAATCAATCTCGGATCTCACCTTTGACGTCATATCATATTCAAATACAATATAGTCAGAAGGATCTTAACCCGTTATCTGAGAACCATGCGGATATCATTAGAAAATATTTTGCTAAGAAAGAACGAGAAATATATGAGCACAGCATTGCAAAAATTGCAAAAGTTGAGCTTCAAGAATGTCCGAACTTTATTTTGTTAAAAATTGACTTCCGAGAACTCCCATGGAGAATTATGCGCCATATCGCGAGTGTTTATAACTGATGTGTAAAAACGAAAATATGTAGTATTTATTTTGTACGATTAAAAATAACACACCACTCAGACAGTAGCTATGCACTGCACGACTTCAACAAAACAGTTTTTGTAATCTTTTAAAGAAAGCCTTTTAAAACTTTATTTAGTTTTCTCTTCGCGAAAATAAATCGTGATCGATATTAAAAATATATAAAATACACGGATTATCCACACACACAAATAAAACAAGTAGGTATATTATTAAATTGAAATAAAATAAACTTCACTGATTAATCATTTATAATTCAAATATAAATGTACGATATTCATATATACTATTTCGAAAATTTTAAATTAAAAATTTTAAATTTTTTCTAGAAAAATTATAAATTTTAATATGAATATAATATACATACAGAATGTTGAAGCACATTTTTCCAAATTTTATCTAGAAAATTCTTATTGTTATTTTGCTTATTTTTCCCAAGAAATTCGATTTCTTCCTTTCGAATACGCAGCTAACGATAAGTTCGAAACGTATACAAAGTGCGAAGTAAACATTCTTGTAAAATGTTACATCTTTTATTCAGTTATAGGAATAATATCGAAAACTTTAAGCTGATTTATTGGTGTCGCGCAACTAGTTCGTGCAAATAACCGTCGTTCACCGAACTTCCACCAACAAATAACTTTCCTTCTCACACCGGTTGTTCTTGTCACTCGATATAGTGACTTCTGAATAACGGGAGACTCGAATTCGCCCGGGTGATTAGTTTTTTCTGGATGAATTTCTGGAGAAGCAATGTAATAACTTTTCCAGTGACAATGTTAACATTCATTTTACGTTTCTGCAAGCAACGAATGAAAATTGTTAATTAAAAAAGTTTCGAAAACTAATGTTTCGCCATATTAATCAATAGTATAAATATAATATTTTGTTTTATTTTATTAAAAATGTAGTTTATTATGTAATGTGTATTTCTAATATGAATACTTCAACGTTGCTTTAACATTACTACATTGATTGTCAAAAATATTTTTAGATTTTTTATATTTTAATTTCGTAAATATAGTGTAGTACACAAGAGCATTATAATTTGAGACAACGAATTATAATATTTATTTTTTTTTTTTAATAATAACGTAAAGTTTATGTGATAAAGTTTATATATAATTTACATAAACTGTTACATAAACATTTATATTGCTCGATTTATATCACTTTAGAGAGTTTTTATTTCAAATATAAAATGTTCATGAAATAAAATAAAATTATATTAAAAACATATATGTATATTTTATGAGTCAAGCACACAGCAGAGGTCTCGTCATCCCAATTCCAACTTTGCAACCAAAACAAATTCCGGATTGTTAGAATTAAAAGCTTCATTTCGGGAAAGCTCCGTGACCCCGAAAACGAATGGTCAGCGTTCCCAGCTGATTTCACAAACATTAAAATCAGCGGCGAAATCGCGTTGTCGCTAGGATTTACGAGCGTGTTTGGTTGGACTGTGTATTTTCGGGTTGACGAAATCCTCGTATACGATCAGTGTAGCGACCTGCGGATTTATAGTATTGTACCACAACCAACTTTCCTCGCACTACTTGAACTCGACAACGTCAACAGCAACGCTTCCGACTATAATGCTCGAGGCTACACGACGAAGGGTCGAAGTTCCCTATAATTTGATCCCTTCGGTCTCGTATCTCGCTAAGTTGTGACCATGCATACGCCATTGTAGTCAGGCACTATAGAAATTAAGGGGAAAAGGTATTAATTACGGAGAACGTCTTGTCTTATTTGTCACCCTATCGCTTAAATATCAGAGCTGCACTATTTCGATCAGAAACTTGTTTCAGTTCCACTTATACGTAATATTTTAATATAATGCGTAAGAAATATAAAGCAAAAATATTTTTATAGTGTAGTACACAAGAGCATTATAATTTGAAACAACGAATTATAATATTTATTTTTTTTTTAATAATAACGTAAAGTTTATGTGATGAAGTTTATATATATGAAGTAAAATTTTCTTTTAACTTGTAGGGTAAATTAAACAACTTATTTCGAAATTTAATTTATAAATTTGATTTATAGGACATTTGTCTTTAAATTGACATTTCTTGTTTTTAAATAGTTATTCTTATATCATAATATAAGATATTATTTTATTCATATGAATAAAAATGCGTAATTATAAAAGTATGAGTAAAGATTCTATGAAATGTATGAATAATTATTTGGATTAATTATTATTTGTTCAGATCTCACCCTCCACCGGCCAGTCACCATGTGGGGCTGTGAAAGAAGAGAAGGGCATGCAACGATTGGAAGCTATGTTGTATGTTCTGGATCAGATTAATGCTGATCCAGACCTCCTGCCAAACACAACGCTGGGAGCTGTCATCCTCGATTCATGCAGCAGCGATACTTATGCTCTGGATCAAAGCATGGAGTTCGTCAGATCGTACATGAATCAGGTAAGTCACCATTTCTTTCATAGTAGCAGTAATTTACTGCAAAGTTTTGTGCTGTAGAATAAAAATATAATTTCAATCGTTCAATTGAAAGCTTAATATTAAAAATTTGAAGATTAAAATTTAAACAATAACTTAAAGTTTCAAGATTAAAATTGTAGATTCTAAAATCGTCAAGAGAGATTGTTGATAACTGTTTGTTTTGTGAATTGCTCGAATTTGTTACGATTACTGAGAAAAAGAAACATAGGTCCTTAGTTTCATTTTTATATTTAATTATATTTATTTTAGTATATTTAATATATATCAAGTCACAATAGTTCAATATGTTCATTTAAAATAAAAAAACCGATACAATCTTTAAATAAATTTCACAATCAATACCTCAATTGTTCTCGTGATTTTGTTTGGGCGCAGCCTATTACGCGCGAACTCTATCACTGATTATTCAATTAAATTACACAGAAAATTACATTATTCTATATTGATTTTAAAGATAAAAGATTCAATACAGAATTATTACATTTCAACGTAAAATAGACCACACGATTTTGCAAGGGAAAAATTTATGATCCAGCGAGAATGAAAAGATAGAAATTTGATCGAGAGCAACGCTTAGGATCGCACAATCGTGCATTACTCTTTCTTTTTCGTCTTTCTGAACACTGACTTCTTTTATAGACTCAATAATATGCTTTACTCTATCAAAGCTCGATCGCCATTGTGCGTTAGTAATACTTTTGTTCCCTAAGATATAATTTCAACATTCTCACGAATTCGAGAAAAGATTAAAAATTTGCATCTCTTTATTGATTATAATAGCAAATTTGTTTGAATCAATAAGCTTTATATAATTTACTCTCGTTTTTGTTCATTTTTTTAGAATATGAAATATTTTGGACATTAAAATATGTTTATAGGAACTTATGATCAAATATATATTTTAATAAAAATTTGAAGACAATATATAGTTGTGATAAGACATTTAACATATGAAATGCAAGTTAAAAAAACAAATTTGCTGAAATTTTTATGTTGTAAAAATTGACTGCAAATGCGTTAAATTTGTAGTCGAAAGAGAATTGTGATATTACTTTGTACTCTCTCTGATGATTTCTATCAATATCAATATGGGTCATAAAGTCCTAAATAATTATAAAAATTAAAAGTGAAATTAAGAGCTTTTTTGGATTATTAATCTCGGAGCGATTAATTTTTCTTCACGAATTTTCGCACTTCGTATACTGGCGCTATCATGTCTGGTTCTTAGCAAGATGGGTATCTCTCGAAAGTAGATACGGTTGTTCGCAACATTCCGGAAGTTTCTAAATTTTAGCAACTGTAACGACGGGCTGCTTTAGATTAGTTATCCACGCCGATGCGGCGGTAAGAGACGATTGGGTAACATCTTCCGTAAAGCTGATTAAATGCAACAACTCCTAGTGTGTATGTGTGTATGTGTTCTTGCCACTTCTGACCCAGTGAATAACTGCCAGAACGCATTTCAATGTTGTTTAATGAGAATTCGCAGTTAAAGCTTTGCGACAATTATCTCTCAAAGATAAATCTTATTTTTTACCATTTTTTTTACGTACAATGATTCTACTTTAATTACCTTTTTAAAAATCTATCTGTTTAATTACTTCATGAAGAGATAATTTCTATTATGATTATATTAAAATATATATTATTCATATTAATCTATCAAAACTATGTATTAGAACATTATATAATTATTTAATATTTTTTTTGTAAATTAATTTTTAATTGTTAACTTTTTGTAAATAAAAAAAATACTTAAATTTACTTACATGCACCATAAAATGAAGAGTTATGTAGTGTGTCTGATAATTTTAAATTTTAAAAAAGAACATGATTGAAAATATTTTAATAATATATAAATGCATACATAAGTATAAATAAAAATATACACAAAAAAACTTCTTGTGTCTTCTCATATCACATGGATGTGTTTTGCACAGGTATAAAAATATATAGCGAAACTTGCAAAATTAATGAAACTCTCCAATTGATATCTTATAAAATATTATCAGAAACTCAATTATGAATCATATATATAATAGAAATTAGGGCATGAAAATACGGATATATATATCCATATAATTACACACATTTATTATTTAATCTCATAATTTAATGTCATATTCTTGTCATTACGAAAGATATTTATTCTTTACATAATTTTCCATAATTCTCTTCTTTTTTAGACATAAAATTTATTTTATATACAAATCTCTCTATATAAACTGAAAAAATATTTAATTTCGACCATTAAAACACACAAGACATTTTGTTTAAAAAAATTCAATTAAGTATGTAATATCAAAATTGTGATACACACATACCGAAATCGACAATGAATTAAATCAACAATCTTTATTACAATAGATTATTTTTAATTTTTAATATCAAGAGAATTTAGATTAAAATCAATATAATCAAAGTTTATTTATTTTATTACACCTAAATAATAGAGAAATCATGTAGACATTTTATAGTTCTGGGTAACTCAATAAAATTAAAACTCCATTATTATTGAGATTCATTCGAATGCGTGGGACGCACGATAAATATGTACGATGAAAATTATACATCCACGAGATGAATCTAAATCAGTGCGCCGCGTCCTCGTTACAAATATTACAAAGTACAATGGCGCCGCAAATTAAGATGGAAAAGTCCGTAAATATTTATCGTTCGGTCGCGTTAAATGAGAGCGAGTTGGTTTCGTTCGTGACGTGTGATTCTCTTCATCGATCTACGTGCGATCCTTGCACTCGCGATTACAACGAATGTCGATGGCGGATGAAAACAAGGTAAATATTTATTGACGTAACGAAGGTGAATACAAACTGCTTTTTGTACACAGCTACTCGAGATCAAGCTACTCTAGTTGAGGTCGCTCAAGAGGAGACACACCGATCGATCGATCGGTTTTTCTCCCTTTATTTACTGTAAGTCAGCTGTCAGCTGGCCCATACTATTATACAGGGTACACTATTATATACAGGGTAGACGAACGTGGTTTTTCATGTGTGATAAGATCGCCTTGAGTGTGATGGTTTAATATAAATTGTTGCCAAGGATGGTACATGATCCATATAATAAAACTATGAATATCATAGTATCCTTTCTTTAAAAAAGACATGTTAACTGAGTGAATTTAATTTTAATCGAAGTATCAAAGCTTCTTTTCCGCGATGCTGGTTGGTTGCCTCGAAATTTTGCTTCGCGGTTTAAATCACAATTAATCAAGTCATTTTACAGTTTTACAATTTGCGGTTAAACTTAATATTATTTTAATTTCTTGAGTTCCTATCATGCACATAATTTTATGTTTGTGTCATCGAATTTCTATTATGTATGTATAATTTTCATTCACCGAATTATGTGCATATATAATTTTAATTTGCTGAATTTCTATTATGCACATGATTATTTATTTACCGTATTTCTTTTATGTAAATAATTTTAATTTATTGAATTTTTCTATTATGTACATATTTTTATTGTGTATAGATAATTTATTCTTGAATTTTCATTTTGTACATAATTTTAATTCTGCAATTTTTATTATGTTTTAAATTTTGATTTGCCAAATTTCTATTATATATTTATCATTTTAACTCGCTAAATTTCTATTATATATATATATATAATATTAATTAGTCCGAATTTTTATTACGTACAATTTTTATTCGCGAATGCGATATGATAATCGAACGTGATCGAGCGGGATCGAAAGTGCCGAATGCATTCGCGAGTGATCTTATTTTTTTCGTATCGTCCGTTTGTTTCGAAGTGCATCTGTGTGTAGTGAAGTGCGATAAATAATTATTGCAAATACAATAGAAAAAACAGTGCAGTGGTCAGTGTCAAACCATATGGGATTATAGCAGAGCAGCAGTGGAAGATTAAAGGGGATAGATTAAAGCAGAGAGGTTTAGCTAATCGACTCAACGCAATGTGAGTTTATTTTTTGTTTATGTTACATTGTTCGGAAAATAATGATTGACTGTTATTTTTAAGAATATAATAAAAAAGTATATTGCGTTTTCATATTTGCAATTTAGAAATATAAAACAATTTTCTGACATATTAAAAATAAAATCATAAAATTGTATATATTACTACAATATTAATGCTAGAATTAAAATTATTTTGTTAATCATGAATTTAAGAAAATATTAATAATTATAATATTTTCCGAACAATCAAGTTTACGTATCACTTTTAAGTAATTAAATTTTGTCTATGTCCAAAATTTAATTAATTTGTCTCTTTTCACGTCTCTCGAATTTATACGAAACATTTATATACAACTATTTATTTAAAGAGCGAATGGAAATAAGTGTTTTAAATTTGACTCATGTACTTAACAATATTTATGCTACCGGTGCACTTAATGTGGCTATTAAAATGTTCTGTGTCTTTTTCTATAATTATATATATTATACCTCTTATTGAACTTCCTAAAATAATTTATTGATGCAGATTACGCATAATCAAAATAATATTTGACATATAAAATGTATAGCATTGTTGTTATAAAAATATTTAAATTAGAAAATACTATTCGGTATTTTATAAAATAACGAATTAAATTTTCAAAATTATTTATACATTTAAAATAGAAAAATTGCTTATTCTATCTATTTAAAAAATATGAAATAAAAAAATAAAAAAAATTTTCAGAGAAAATTTTATATTTAAAATATATTGTGACACTCTAAAAAAAATAGAGGAGAGAGAGGCATCTATACAATTTTCTTCGACTAATTATATCTACGTAATGTAACATTTCTGCTATTCTTATTCGCAACATTTCATTCTTTTTTGTTCGAGACACCGCGTGTAGACGTCGAGAAAGAAAATGTTCGTTCTCAGAATAGCAGATAAAGGAAATTGACGTTTGAATTTTTCGACATTCGTTAGAGTCGTTGCTTGAATGCTGCGTTAAAAATTAAAATTCAATCTATATT